GAATCGTGCCCAGTGAGGCATGTTTTCCCTACCAAGAACGGGTCTTATGATATCTAAGATGCACGCCTTTTCATTTTATTCAGTGTGCATGATGAAAACGGGCTCCCTTTGACTTCGTAATCTAATCCTTTGTCCTTTGTTTCGACTTTTGCGTTGCGGCAGACCATTATTTACAGGCGAGTTTGTAGCCACATTAATTTTCACTATTAACGACAGCACATATATCATGGGTAGGTATTCCAGTGTTATTCAGTAAGACACGAAAAAGGCACCCTACTGTGATGCAGGTGGTCTTGCGTTAACATGATGAAGGGATACCTATTCTGTATCCTAACGCTTACTCTAACCCAAGCTTTAAACCTAGACCTGACCTTAGTCCTGATCCTAATTCCTCTAGAATTTGGCGCAAGGCCACCTGTACTACGGCAGAAGGTTCCTGCCCATTCCTCGACTAATAATTTCTCTTTGTCCGACGACCCGCCTGAGCTCTAGATCTCAAGCACCAAAACGAAGTTAAGATATCAATTCTGCCGTGAAATCCGCATAGATCTGTAGAGAAAACGTCCACCTGCCCAAATATTCTCAATACAAGACAAGGGATCACCACTCTAATGAGGGAACACTTGACTTAGGAACGCTGGATTATCGACTGCTGTGGTCCAAATTCCAGGTGTCCCACTTAAATCTGGACGGTGCCAGCCGACAACGACAAAACACTCCAGAAATTGTCATTTCAACAGTTCTGTTCTTTTTCTATCGAATTCCACAGTTACACGCCTTTGGACCAGATTACTCGTTGAGTTTATTGTCCCGGTGTTGAACCTCCAAGGACACTTTTGTTTTATCGGCAGATAATGATTTAGGACCATTTATTTCCCTGTAGGCTTTTCTGGAGCTGAAGAATGGTGAGATAATAGAGGCTGAATTCGCGAACGACAGCATCGTGCGTATTCTTCACAACGGTGTTCCTGAAAACGATGTACTGTTTGCTGACCCTCGAATTCAGGCAATTTTACCACTACACGACGGTAGGTCTCTATGTCAATGAGATGTCCTTATTGAGCACGTTAAAAATTCACAAGAAAAGCCCTATATTTGCATAACGGACTGCCGCGTATTTGTTTCTCGACTATGCTCTTGGTCCTTTAAGAACAATGGGCAACGCGTGCATAACCAAGAGGCGGGTACTTTGCAACATCCTTGGTAATGTTAACATGGAACCACTTCTTTCGTGTTCATTAACCAGCCACTACCCTCCTATCCCCTTTTATGCTAAAACAGTCACTCAAAAAGCTTATTCTGGAGAAAAAGAATGTTAATATGATGGATTCTCTCGTTCGGAAGAAGACTAGGAGGAAAAAGGAGGAACAGGATATGAGAAAAAGTAGTCAGTATCTCTAGAGCTTCCACAGCTGCAGTGTTCTGGCAAATCCAGCAGGCAACCGAATTCCCTAATTCACCATTTGGCGTTTATGACAGGCAACAATTAATTTATTCTTGCCAAATTTGCGATTCCCTGTTTGTGAACAGGCTTAAGAAGTAGCCATCAGAACAGTAGCCTTTTTTCCGGAAATTGTTTTGTTCTTTGTGTTCATATTTAAACCTTCCATCAATTCTGATGCAATAAGTCAACTGTCCAAACAGGATTTCTTGGTCAATCAACCTAGCATCCACCCGACAACTATCAGGTCCACCTGCATAATAGTTGTTTCTACGGCCTCAGTGGGGCACGAACCCATGGCGTCAAGTGTAAAGCCGCCGGGTTTACCACGATTAGGTCAGATAAGTTTAGCATGTGCCAATGAAGATGTACAGTAGGTGGGCTAACTCATGAACTGTCAACCGAAATTTCGAAATGCGTTTTTGTTTTGAAAAGATTAATTAAGCAGGGTAGTAAAACTAGTCAGCGTGTAACATAATTATATAATATTTCAGTTACCTCAGGATGCCGGCTTTCGAATGAACTTTCTTCCGGCTGCATGCAAAAACTACACTCTGTGAAAAATGACTACTTACGTAGCATGCATTCTTCTAATTGATTTTCGATGTCTCTAAAAGCCCAATTATATTTCATGGAAAACATGCATAAAAGTGTTCATTCTTTTGTCCATTCGGTAGATAACTACGTCTTCTAATTTTATAGACGAAAGAGGGACATAATTCGGTTTAAAAATTTTCTAATTGTGGGACTTTTAAATACCGTGAAATTGCCGTTCCTAAATCGTCATGTCTCTGCACTTACCAATGTGCCTCGTAAACTTAACAACATGGATCAAATCCACTGCTTAATTTTCTGAACCCTATGTGGTCCCCTTTTAGTACCGTAGAGAAATGTGTGGTTTTACATACGCGGAAAATATACGGCTTGTAGTTTGGAAACCCTGAATCAAAGTTCAAACTAATTCGGGAATTGGAAAACTTTTTGAAAACGAATTATGTCCCTCCTCCGAGTAGAAAATTAGAAGGAGACGTAATTATCTCCCGAATGAGCAAAATAATAAATATTTCACCCATGTTTTCCGTGAAATATAATTAAGTTTTTAGAGGCGTCGAAAATCAATGAGAAGAATGCATGCTACGTAAGTGGTCATTTTTCACAGAGTGTAGTTTTTGCATGCAGCCGGAAGAAAGTTCATTCGAAAGCCGGCATCCTGAGGTAACTGAAATATTATATAATTATGTTACAGGCTGACTAGTTTTACTACCCTGCTTAATTAATCTTTTCAAAACAAAAACGCATTTCGAAATTTCGGTTGACAGTTCTTGAGTTGGCTCACCTACTGTAAACCACTTTCATGATAAAAAATGCTTCTTGAATAGAACTCCCTAGACAATATGTGAATCAGTTTGTCTTGTAAAGTTATCACGTCTAGGATAAAATGGTTTTGGGGTTGCTGAGATTCCAACAAAACTGTGACGTTTCGGGAAATGAAAGAGTATATCGGAGGGTTTTTGAAGGCGGACACTATTATCTGACCTTTTATTTGTTGCGGAATTTATCTATATGCTGTAAACGAATATTTTGTGATCTTTTTAATGTCAACTCCACAAACTAGTCCTGGGCATGACTACCGATACCAAGGGACAATATGAATGCGTTACACTGGACACCACTGAAATAGACCTACGAGAGGATTTTTTCGTCTACAAATGCAAACACAAGCTCGACTGGCCAAATGAGTTACTAAAGGTGGTCTATATTACTGTAATCTGAGATGTTTGTTTAGATAAAGAATTTTTACTCATAAACGGTACGCAGTCACACCACCGCTAAACAGCCTCATCTTTATTGACACTTTTAGAAACAAAAAATTTCCGACGGGAAATGTATAAAAGCACAAAAAATAGTTGGTGTTTGCTTTTTGTGGCAAGTTTGGACTGTTGAATCCAATCCGCGCTTTACCTCTTTACTTAGCTGCTGCTAACATAATGGGTTTGCCACTGGGATAATTTTTCTATCTATTCATCATCTGCTTAAGATTCCCTGAGTGCCACTGTAAGAGGAGACATGGTTGGTTGCATTTAAAAGTAGACTGCGCAGTTTGCGTTTTCTTTTTACTTGCAGATAAACTTGGACGGAGTATAAAATAGTAACGTAGTAGTGGTATGCACTTATCTACCCTAATTTAGGGCTGAGATAGACATTTCCACTTTGCTTTGGATGCGCAGTCGGAGGTTGGAGTATCACCAGGTAATAACGTCACATAAGCTGACAACAGCTATTCGAGTGTCGTTGTCTTTGTCAGTATAATTTCTCAAATATGGGATACTTGATTATATATCATAAGCTTTGAATTGTAGCGCATTTTATGCCACCCATCCTCCTCCTGGCCATTCTTCATGTCATGCTGTAACATAACAGGTCGCCACGCAATGAAAGTGCTTAGTTAAAGTCCTTTTACGGTTAAAAAGACCGGTTCTCGGGGAGAAAGGGAAACCTCAGTAGCAAGAATGTGAACTGTATTCGACTGACCTGCCGGACTTCGAAATCACCTCAACGCAAAAGTCAGCCAGACCGGCCCTCTTTTACGTATTAACCAGCGTTGGTTGCAAGCTGGACTGTATGCCGTAGACGGCATGACCTGTTTGCCGAGAAAGGTTGCACCAAACTATGTGGCTTGGCTATTTGCAACCAGCTTTGCTGTCGACGCCTGCAGCGATATAACAACAGCATCGGTTACAGTCGTGCCTAGCTGAAACCTCGTTCAGTTTGGTTTGACTATAACTTGAGTCTGACGGCCGTGACCTGAAGTATTCCCGAAAAGACAGCGAATTCGGCTGCTCAGGTGACTGTACGTGGGGAAGTACGCCCTTTCTCACTGATGGTCGGTAAGACAGCACGACAGTACGAAACAGAATGTGACTCGTACGGTTGATAGTCCGATTAGATACCTTATTCTGCTGATTCAAAAGCGGTTTTGTCCCTTTCTTACCGTTAATACAATAGTATATAAGCAAACAGCCATCACAGACGCGCACAGGTGTTGGAAATTAAATCAACTTATTCTTGGGTTCTGCTCCCCCCCTAGATGCCAACATTAGGTGCATGCACAGTTGCGGATAAAACAACAACGAAATCGACCACCTGTCCAGTTGTTTTTTTCCATGTGTTGGCCCCAGAGTAAGTGAAATGTAGAAGAAAATTGAGAACGCTGATGAACACAGCCTCCTTGGATACTCCAATGATTATCAACCCATGCTTAACCTGGATGGTGGTAATCTTAAACTTAAACGAAGAATGAAACAACAGTCGTGTTAGAGTGCCCAAACGTCGGGTTTCAGTATCAGTATCAGTATCAGTTTATTAAGGGAAATATAGGCAAGCGCCTTTGAATTCCCTCTTGGTTACAAGTCGTCGGAGAAAAACATTGGTAAATGGGAAGGTGAAAAAGGGATTTTGTACATACTCGCGGACAGCTGGCAGCTAGCCGAAAAAGAGTAATCATTAATGGTTACTTACTAATTACAAGTAGTATAAACACGTATAAGATGGTACCGGGTTATGTGAGTGGATGTGGGGGTGGTAATTGGGAAGCTTGATGCAGGTCAAGTCTACACTTGAAGGAGTTCACACAGGAGGAGGTTACAACATCGGTAGGTAGGCCATTCCAGGCTGCAACCACTCTGTTACTGAAAAAGGACTTTCGTCCATTGGTTCTTGATTTCCCTGCGCGTAGTTTTAGGGGATGACCGCGCAAATTGGGCGTGTTAGCTTGGGTGAAATAATCAGTGGGATCTAAACAACAGTCTAGGCCGTTGATGATGCGAAATGTTAGTATAAGGTCACCACGTAATTGCCTGTAGGAAAGGGGAAACAGGTTTAGGATTGACAGTCTGGTTTCATAGGGCAGTGCTCCCAGACCTTGTGTCATTTTGGTCGCCCGTCTCTGGACCTTCTCCAAGACGGTATAATCCTTGGCAGTCCAGGGTCTCCACGCCTGTATGGCGTATTCTAGATGAGGTCGCACGAAGGTACCAAATATTTTGGAAAAGCAGTCAGGGTCAAATCCCATAAATGCTCGCCTAATGAGTTGCAATGTGGCCGTAGCCGATTTAGCCGCCTTCGCGCAGTGCAGTGTTGGTTTGAATGAAGATGTAATCCATACACCCAGGTCCTTCTGACTGTCAACCTGTGGCAGTGGTGTGCCGTTTAGAAAGTAGGTCCTGGGGCTAGGGGCTCTGAAGCCGCCGAGTTGAAGAAAGTTACACTTGCTTATATTGAAGGGCATAAGCCAGCGCTTCGACCAGTCTTCGAGCCTGTTCAAGTTTGCTTGCAGGTGGTCTGCGTCTGCCGCATCGTGAATAACTTTCCACAATTTTATGTCGTCGGCAAACAGGATGGCATCACAGTCTAGGTCCTTGACGCAGTCATTTACGAAGACGAGGAATAACGTGGGACCTAAGACTGAGCCCTGTGGGACGCCACTCACCACGCTTACATCTGAGGACTGTTGACGCCCGACCTGCACTCTCTGGGACCGTCCAGCCAAAAAGCTCTGGATCCATACAAGAAGGCGTCCACGAATTCCAGCGTTGCGCAGTTTGTACAAGAGACGTTGATGAGCAACGCTGTCGAAAGCCTTTTTGAAGTCGATGTAGATGGCGTGCACCACCTTGCCTTCATCACGTGCTTTGGTCCAGCGTTCGAGCGTAAAGAGCAGATTCGTGAGGCAGGACCTACCACTTCGAAAGCCGTGTTGGGCATCAGAAAGGAGATGGTGCTGCTCGCGGAACTGCACCAAGGCCTTCTTAATGATCTTCTCCATGATTTTGCAACAGATGGAGGTAAGACTCACTGGCCTGTAGTTATTCGCAGACGCACGACTTCCACCCTTAAAAAGCGGAGTGATGGTAGCGGACTTCCAGTCAGAGGGCAGGCATCCAGTAACAAATGACGTTTGAAAG